CGATGCTGTGCCCTGGCTGTGTTCGTCCCCAGGGGACAGGACCAGAGCAAGGAGACTGAACCCTTTGCTCCCAGTTTCCTGTGTCCCCTATAGCTCCTCCATGTACAACCAGACCATTTACGCTCCTGTGGCTCAGAGGCTCCACGCCGTGGGGGCACAGCGGTGGCTGCAGCAGTGGGAAGTGACCCTCCTCCATCGGAAATCGTCACCAACACCCCCTGCACAAGGTCCTGGCCAGGCAGGCACAACCCCTTCTCACTGGCGTTACCGCACGCGGTGTCGGCAGTACAGCAGCCTCCAGGAGCCATCTGTGAGGTACCCACCACCGAGCTCCAAAGAGAGCCAAGAGGAGCATCTCCAGGCAAGGAACAGGAGCAAGAGGGCGGAATGCAGGCACGCTGCTCCTCGAGAGCGTATCGCGACAGCTCAGCAGGGCTCTTCCACCTGAGCTAAATTACACAAATTAAAGAACTAACCTCAATCTGGACAGTGTGCGGGGGGGTCATAGAATCCTAGAATGGTTTGGGTTGGAAGGGACCTTAAAGAGCATCCAGTTCCAACCCCCCTGCCATGGGCAGGGACACCTTCGACTAGACCAGGTTGCTCCAAGCCTCATCCAGCCTGGCCTTGAACACTTCCAGGGATGGGGCATCCACAGCTTCTCTGGGCAACCTGTTCCAGTGCCTCACCACCCTCTCCGGGAAGAACTTCTTCCTGATACCTAAGAAGTTCTTAGATACTCTGGGTTCTTACCCCAGGCAACTCTGGATCAGGAGAGGACAGCGGTTTCGCTCTGCCCTTGCCCTGCAGACCCATCTGAGCCCACCAAGGTGATTTTACTGAGTGGGACCGGAGTTTGCCTTCAGGCTCGGTTCCCCAGGGACAAAACAGGTGGCAGGAGGCGAGCACCCGGATCCCATCTCCCTTTGTGCCGTGGGGAAACAGGTTTTGAACAGCAGAGGAAGGGGAGGGAAAGCCGAGGATCAGCAGCGGGTCCCCATCCCACACAGCTGACCTGGCACGGCCAGCTCTCCGCAGAGAGGCTCGGGGGAGCGGACAGTGTCACATACCTACGGAGAGGATACAGCATCCTGTCACTCACAGGATGGTGACATCACTCAGCCGTGATTAGGTTTCTCCTAATTAACTAGAAACTTGGAGGGTGGCAGTTTTAGGATGGGGAGAATTCACCTGTTTTGCCGGGACAGAGACTGCCAGGAGAAAACGAGGGGTCGGGCTCGGCGGTGACCACAGAGCATCTCTCCCTGCCTGTTTCACAGGGTGCAGGAGAGTGTCCCCCCGGCACGGAGACCTCTCCACTCACACCACCAAGCGACGGCCAGCGCAGGGACAGTTGGATTGGGCGT